AGAATCACTCTTGCCAACAAGTGCTACTTTGGACTGAGTAGGCAATTCAGGAGTAAAGTCCTCTCTCGACGTACGAAAACCACGCTCTATAAGTCACTCATCATGCCCGTGCTGGTATATGGCGCAGAAGCACGGACAATGACAACATCCGATGAGGCGGCTCTTGGACTGTTTGAGAGAAAGATTTTGCGGAAGATTTACGGGCCTTTACGCGTTGGCGACGGCGAGTACCGCAGACGATGGAACGATGAGCTGTATGAGCTTTACAACGATATGGACATAGTGCAGCGAATTAAAATACAGCGGTTCCGCTGGCTTGGTCATGTCGTTCGAATGGACACCGACGCTCCAGCTCTGAAAGTATTCACCTCGGAACCCGCTGGTAGTAGCAGAGGAAGAGGGAGGCCCCCACTGCGATGGAAGAAGGACTTGGCTTCACTTGGCGTTTCCAATTGGCGTCAGTAGGCACAGAGGAGAAACGACTGGCGTGCTTTGCTGAACTCGGCCAAAATCGCTTAGGCGGTTACAGCGCCAAAAAAGAAGAAGAAGAGAAGACATACATATCGTCGTTAGATACGAATAAAGTCGCGCGCTCAAAAGTTGACAGCGAAAACAGACGCGTAACAAATTTCAGCGAAGAAGGATTCCTAACATAGGCGAGGGCAAAGGCAGACGCGTTAACCTCTTTTACGGCGAAGAAAGACGAAGAAGACTTATTTTTGCAGTCAACTATGTTTGCGAGTATACGAATCCCCCAAAAAGCTTTTCCGGAATGATGTTGAATCCATGTTTACGCGTCTTTTTTCGCAAATTTTTTTCATGCATCTTTTTCGCTGTCAAAACACCCGAACGTCTTTATTCGTGTCAAGTGACTACATATTATATTATTATTACCTCGGAGATACCCGCGTTGCAACCTTAGAAGATATATTGTGCTAATTCCGAATATACTCTGGGGTTTCCTTCACCGGCCCACAAAACCTACTGTCAGTCTCTACAGAAAGACCCTTTAATTCAATCGGTACGTTAACTTGCAGTGTTCTGACAGGTAGCCAGTAAGAGTTTTAAGTTCAAGGTATATTTCGGAGTTTCTCTTGAAAAGTTATGAATATCTTTGATTGTATTCCCTTCGACTTCCGCCAGTGTGCAGCAATTCCCAGCTAGCTCCTAAGTAGGTCTGCAGTGTATCCTTTAGATGTACCGCAGAAAGGCTCGGAACCATGCAAACGCATTTGTAAGACGTTGCAAGTTGTTGCCATCAAACCCTTCATGTCCCTGAACCCTCCACAACGGTACGCTATTGCGGGCGCCCAGGTGGCTCAAGAGTTCACAAGCCTTGATGCCGTTTTAAAATACTCTAAGGCTTCTAACGCTGCCTGAATATCTGACATAATATTTATTCTGGCCTCATTTGCCTTCTACGATAAAATTCGAGAAGACAGATTTCGATTGCGAAGACCTGCGCCCAGAATATGGTTGGGTACAAGCCCATTGGCAGACTTTCCTGGAATCTTGGTCCAAGTACGCCATAAAGTATATATCGATGTTCGTATTGTATATTGGCAATAATAAGGGTATACGTTTGTACTGAGGAATCATGTTTTCGGCCGCCGGTATACGAACGCACCGGTGAAATATTCATTTAAAAAAAAATTGCTAAAATGTTTGGAGATACATATTTTCTATTTTTATAACTATTACTCGTAGACCCGAAACCTACCAAAATCCAATCAAGCCTACCAACCTACCAAATCGAAAAAAACCTACCAGTTTTGGTAGGAAAAGCCCATGTTTGGTAGCACTGGTCTAGGTGACATGAATTACCGATAGAACGTAGGGTGGCCTATTTACACGGAACTTAAATTTTAAGAAAACGTCATACAAACCTTTCTTTAAGGTGCTGTATCTTGGAAACCTTTTAACGAAACTTAATGAAAAAAAAAATGTATTTCTTCCGTTTTATTATGGGCTTTAATTGTACATTTTTTACATTAATGTGCAACGTATAAAAAAAAATTAGTTGTACATTTTTTTATTATTTTTTTTTTGATTATAGAATTTTTAAAAATTTTTATTTTTACATATAAACATTGTCTATAGTATCAGCTTTGAGTGCCCAAATAGGCTTAATGGGCTACTTATGTGTATGGACTCTAGATCGTCTAACGCTCAAGCAATGTGATAAATAAACATTGAAATTTTATGAAATTGTATATTTTTGAAAGAGGAAAGATGTGTAAAAAACAAAAACAATATGAACAAATCATAATAACTTTACTAAAGGGTCTGAAATCACGAAAATCCCTTCAAGGAAATGGCAGAATTGAACTTTGTTGCAAGGTAAAGAAAGGTAAGAATAATTTAGATGTAATTGTTAAAGTTTGTTGAATTTTTATAATTTTTGTACGTAGTTTGTAATGTTGATTAAAGGGGCGCTGGTTATGTAATGTGCTAGATTTTATAAAAAATTATACATATTAAATAGACAAAAGAAAAATAGCTAAAACTGGCCAAAGGTCACTTAACTTAATCAAGAGACCACAAGTTTATGTTATACGTACAATAAACGACAGAGCGCATAACGAAAATTCAATTTTATTCGCAGTTAACAGGCTTCCACACAGATGAGAAAGATACTAAAACGTAAAGAAATAAATTCATTAGTAAGATCGAAATTTGCAAGTGTTTATAAATTTATTCACACACATACATATATGGCATACATATGGACATCTTTGTGCTCACCAAATATGCAAAAGTTAGATACGTAATTGCAAATTATTTATGTACCCTTTCAAATATCGTCATCCTCAGCGTTGGCTGCATTGGAAGCGAGAGACCGTAAGCTTCCTCACCGTTCTTATCCCCTGGGAATTGCGTATCAAGGAGATCGAGTCGCATTTTGGCTCCGGCGTAGCATCCCATTTCACTTTTCTTCGCTGGCTTATGTGGGTAAACATCATGATTGCCATACCATTGGTGGCATTCGTCATCGGGCCTGAGGTGAGTTACGCTGAATAATTCTAATCATTTCGTCAATGTCAAATTTTCGCGTCATAATGCCATCTTGTCTGCAAACTTTCATTCCATATCTATGTACGATGTATGTATGTATGTACTTACTTTTCATCATTCCTACGTCAATGTCGTCATCTGCGTAAACCGCGGTCATTTATCAATGTGTTGGACTTCGACAGTACTTTGCTACGAAGAAAGATGAGACCGATCCCCGTAAGCGTATGACCGAGCATGAGTATAAAGTGGCTGGAAATTTCTTTACATACTGGGAATTCGAAGGTTACATTAAATATTCGCCAATGTTTTACGGGTAAGTAAAAAAATAAATATAATAATCAAAAAAATGTTATTAGTAATTTTGTATACATTTGTATGCAATTAAAGGCAATGACTGAACAACTTTGTTTTATAAAATTTATCATAATTTGCCATTTTTGATTTCAGTTATTATTCGAACATATCCGGTGCCAGTACGTTGGGCTATAAATTACCAATGGCTTACTTTCTAACAGCTGTTGTTGTTTATATATACAGCTTTGTGGCCACCCTGAGGAAGTAAGTAAAGCAAGAGTAAACTGTTATTATTTAAATTTCAAAAATAGAAATTCAAATGAATTATTTGATTTTCCTTAAAATTGATTTACAACTTTAAAGTTATTCCAAAATTGTAAGATATGTTTGTAGCTTGAAATATTTTATAGAATGAATAGCGAAAAATCAGGGTCAGGAGATTCTCACTAATGATTATTCCTTCTTATTTATTTATGAGATTTGTCACGATAGAGGATATTCCATATTTATTTATCGCGCATGAATAATGCTAGCAAATTTAACTTGGCTCATTGTTCGAGTACTTACGTCCACTTGTTGCGTACGTGCAGAGTGCACTTGCCTAAACCGTATGCATGTAAATGCGTAACGAAAAGAGATATAATTTGCTTTATAATCTATGAATCTCAAGTGTTTATTATCCAATATGTTTGATTACAATGAAAATTCTAATTCAAAGTGCCAGAGGGGCGGATTTGAAAGTTAACGATGTGAAAGCGGTGGCGGTCAGTAGAAGACTAAAAAACTTAGGCTGGCGCGCTCGGGTCTCCTCGTACCGTCGCTTTACAATTCAAAAATCGGAAAAACACGCCACCCAAATTTACGATATACAAGTTAATATTCTAAAAAGGTTTACAATTCATTTGGTAGGTAATCCATCTTCAAATTTGAAAAAATACAAAATTTAAAAAGCAAAATCGCGCAGCTGTCCCTCGTCTACAAATCTATCAGATTTATGCCCATGTTCTCAACACTCATATTCGGAGTGCGATTAACAAAAAATTTTCGGCTGTCTTTCAATCGTGGTGAACCGGTTTGGAAAATCGAGTAAATCACCATTTTATCGCACACCATCTTAAAAAGAGGCGCATATAGAGATGATACTTATTTCATGCACCCTTACTAATTCCTCTTACTCATTAAATAGATTGAGTTTTCTTTTTTAAACAGATGACAACCCTCATTAATATCCTTAATATTCAAACTAAATATTTCCTAAGACTCCTTCGCTTGATGTCCACATTTTAATATTTCATACAATAACTTATGTATAATTTAAATAAAATGGGCTTTTTAAACAGATGGCGCCACTGTTAAATATATTTTCAAACTAAAACCTCTTTAAACCTTTTTCGTGTGGCACCCATATTCTTATACATATTTAAATTTTCTAATTCCCTTAATTCAAGTTGTATTTAATTTAAAAAACGGAGAACAACGCCCCTACATTCAGTTTAGAAATAAAGTTATCTCAAAGCCATTTTGATTGATATATGTACATATTATAGTAACTTATTTAACCAATTGTATACATTCACATGTGACCGCTGTGTTGTAGTGGTTAGCAGTGCGCGCTACCATTCCGAAGGGCCTGGGCTCAAGCCCGATTCAAACCAACATCAAAAAATTAGAAGCAAAAAAAGTTTTTCTAATAACAGTCGCCCCTCGGCAGGCAATGGCAAACCTCCGAGTGTGTTTCTGCCATGAAAAACAGCTTCTCAAAAAAATACAATCGCCATTCGGAGTCGACGTAAAACTTTATGCCCCCTTTGTGCGACAACATCAAGGTGCACGCCACAAATCGGAAGAAAAGCTCGGCCAAACACTAACATATGTGTTAGCGCCAATCTATTATTATTATACATTCAGTTTAAATTTATAAACAGATGGTAAAAATGTTTAAATATTTTCAAAGTAAAACCTTTTTCGTCTGACACCCGTATTGTGATGCATTATAAATTATCTAATTCGCTTAATTTGAGTAGAATTAAATTTTTCAAACAAGTGACAACCTTTTATGCATGTAGTTTGGAAATAAAGTTTTTTCAAAACCATTTTGATTGATATCCTCTTCTTCTTCTTTATTGTCGCTGTAACCACCTACGCGATTTTGGCCGAGTAAAAAAAACTCTTAGAGCTCATCGTTCCATCGTCTGCGGTATTCGCCATCGCTTCATCAGATGTTTTAATTGTCCATGCCGTCGCGCCATATACCAGTAGCTCGTTTTTGTAACAATTCTCTACCAACGCGAATCCATATATGAATTCGCCGCCGTTTTCTCTACTGCTAATGAGTAGTAGAGAATGATGTATATTCTCTACCAGTAGAGAAATAATCGGTAGAGAAGAGTTACAGAAACGAGCTACAGGACAGGCTTGATGAGTGACTTTACTTCCCAATTTCCTACTCAGTCTAAAGTAGCACTTGTTGGCAAGAATGATTCTCCGTTGGAATTATTATTGGTGTTAACGCTGGTTCCGAAATAAACGAAGTCGTCTACTTTTTCAAACTTGTAATCAACAGTGTCGTGGATGCCAAGAAGCATATGCTCTAACTGTTGTTTTGTCCTCGTTCACCAACAGACCCATTCGTTTTGCTTCTCTATCTAGCCCCGAGAAGGCAGAACAGACGTAGCCATGGGCGTACGCAGGAGCAAGCCCCCTCCCCTAAATTCCAAAGTTTCATTGTGAGTTTATTTCTATTAACTTATAATCAATTTCCGATTCAAAAAATTTGTGCAATGAATTAAAACTTTGGGTATCTTCACATCAATTTCGGTAGTTTTGGTAAACTGCTGGTTGTTCCTCGATAATTTTATCAACTGTGAACGTCCTTTTCAGCTTACTTTTGTTAGTCTGATAAACAGTCATTTACTTAAAAAAGGTAAAATAATTATTATCTGCAAAGAACGTAAATCTATAAGAAGAGATAACACGTTATAATTGTAACGAGTGGGAACATCAGGAGTGGGCTTTCTCTTTTACCCAAATACGTTTTGTGATTGGATGAAAAGAGAAGGCGCGCTCCTGATGTTCACACTCGATACAATTATAACGTGTTGTCTCCTCTTATAGATTTACGTTCTTTATTGTCTGTTAAGATTTTCTCTTATTTTATACTTGAATTTAGGTTTAGTTATGCTTAGCGTTCACAGAGTTGTTGTAGAAAAAACAAAAATGAAATCATCACTAAAACAATTTATCGATTTGCAGAACACACTCGAAGACTATTGTTTAAATCGGGGCTGCTCAAAATTTGTATAATGAAGTGAAATGACAATATATCTAAAAAATTTATGTGTACACTAAAGGCCTCGCCAGATAGAAATTATTTTCTGCGTCACAGGGATGCTTTTGACTGACATCGAAGTTAACTCTGTGATTTTGAATAGAAGACGCCGCATTGACAACGCATGCATTAGAGGTATACGCCGCCGGGCCACGCCGCCGCCGCCGCCGTTCTTTGTCATTTCACACGCGCCGCCGCCGAGTTACGAAAATATCGGCGCGGCGGCGGCGTTCGGCGCCTAAGGAATTTTGTACAAAATTTTCATATTGTATGCACATTGAAATACATCGTTTGAAGGAACTAAATACTACTCGTATAAAAACACTATTTTACGAAATGAAAATTACATTTTTAAAAGGGTTTTTTTTTTGCATAACTTGGGCCACTGAACATTAA